CCCATACGTGGGACGCGTGGGACGTCCCATAGGACGCGTGGGCCGTCCCATGGGACACGTGTGCCGTCCCATGGGACAGGTGGGACGTCCCACGCGTCCCATGGTGTCCCATGGGACGTCCCACGCGTCCCACGGGCCGTCCCACGTGTCCCATGGGACACCATGGGACGGCCCTAGCTGTCTCATGGGACACCATGGGACGGCCCTAGCTGTCCCATGGGACACCATGAGACACGTGGGACGTCCCAGGGCTGTCCCATGGGACGTCCCACGTGGGCTCCCAATAATGTCAGTACCCCGTCACGTGGATATGACGATAGCAGATTTATTCTGTCGAGGCATCGCAATGCAACCCAGACCTACCTTCCTTAGACTAGACTTAGTTTCCAACCATCCACGACAAGTCTCATAAAGGCCCCTATTTGTTGAGATTAATTTGTGGACGCCGAATCAATTTTTATGAGCGATGTGGCCAAGGAAGGTTACTTCTCTCTGGCGTGGTCATAATTTCGACTACCCCTCCAATAATATGCTCGAATGGCTTACTCGTAGCTCTGCATTTTCAGCGTTCCAACCTGGTGTCATTTCCGTAATCTTTGCTGCGCTTCGCTCTTCATGTTTTCCAGGTTCGTTTCTTAGGGTTAGGATCTTCTTGAACGTCCAAGCGACGACACTTTCTTCGGGGAACATTAGGGCCAGGAAGCGTTCGTTTCTCGAACTTGGAAAGATTTAAGAAGGGTGAACGTGTGAGAATAGCATGCTTTTGAAACTTAAAGAGAACGACATGTTTTCAACCCCCGTAGAGAACGACGTGATCGAGAACAACATGCATGATGAACGGTTGTTTCCCGACAACATGCTGGTCGTAGCGTTCATACATTCCGGGCTCAGGCAGTTTCCACCGGCCACAGCAGGGTGCATTGACCGCATTCTTTGCCTCCTCGTCAGCGCACACTAGACTAGCCTAGTGCAGGATGTTCTTTTAGCCACCTGCGGAGAAAACAGGACTCTTGCTTTCGTCCCGAAGCGACCCCTACGTAGTGTACAAACAACCACGGCCGTTCCCTCAAGTATATCATACTTGGCACGCTTGAAACCAACTTTCAATTCTCTAGACTACCTCATGCGTGAACCCTCACGACTCATCCATGTAGACACCCATCAATGCCGAAAAAATCGAGACAACCGCTCCAGGAAAACCTCCCCCGTCCACTTGGAAAGGTAGGAGACACTAGACAGCGGGACTAGGAGCGGAAAATAAAAAACACCCTCTCCCAGTCAGTCCCCTGGTCCCACCCTCTCGTGTACGGCTCAAAACAAAAAGCTCGTCTATTCCCGAGCCGCGTGTCCACGAACAACTCCGACTATGTATGTACATCATATGGTCTCCGAAATACTTACTAGTTGAAAGACACGAGACCAAAGGACGTCGTCGCCCTTTGCCTCTGCGCAACCACAAGAGAGTACTACAGTCCACAGCCGTGGCGTTGGCTTTGTACTCAGATGTTGAGAGGCAAGTCGAGCACACAGAGTCCTCAGACCACACTGTCACCGGATTCGTCCTACTGTAGGTCTCTCCCTGCGTCAACCAACCTACTCCAAAAAAGCTCGTGCATCATCGCCCAAAACCACAAGCATGCATGCAATCCTGGTGGCTGAACGAAAACACCACAAGAACGCTCAATCAACACAATGCTGACCTACATCGTCAGAAATTCGATAAACAACGGCCTACAGGGTTATGTATCGAGTCACAGCTAGCTACAAACCTCCACCTCGGGGGGCGGAATGCGCTCATATATTTGATTCCAGTGCTTCCTTCGAAAGCAATAAAATAGTCACACCAAACAGCAAAAACGAGTGCTTTCGCTCTCAATCGCTAACGTCTATCTCTACACACACACAAATGACCAAAGTCCTCGGCAAGCCGCCAGCAGAATCGTGCGTATGCCCGCGGCTGGCCAGACACGTCGCGCCACGGCAAACAAATACACATCACGCTCCACAAAAATCCTCAAGTTATCACATCCAGGGTCTCCTGATCGCCTACCCCACGGCAAACGCCAACTACACACGGAAGGGACGGCGTCAAGATGTGACTACAGCATGTACCACTGTCGTCACGGAATAGGTGAACCACAGACATGCGCTGTGTACATGCCGCATCCGCGCGAGTCTCAAATGTCCTCGGCCATGCCAACTGTCGCCAGTGGGTGAAGCCCTTTTTCCTCTATCATCCGGCGTATGTTCACGCCTTGGAAGCGTAGTACGCCTTCACCTGTGATTGGCTGAGTGTTTTGGTCAGGGATGGACGAAGGGATGATGGGAGGGAGGGAGGGGGGGGGGTGAAGACGTTCGCTTGTGTTCGTCGTTCGACTTTTGTCCTTGAAAGTCTTGCCTGGAGAAGGGCGTGGTGCGTGTTCCTCGATAGCACACGGATGTACGGCGAACAGCACAGGAGCAGAGTTAATGCGACGCAACAGCAACCGTAGGGTAGCGGTACCTTGGGGTCCTCCAAGAGGGCGGCCTGCATCTCCATGAGCGTGGGAGCGGTGTCCGCGATGTGGGTCGTGGGGAGACCCGTCAGGAAGTTCGCTTCGAAGTTCTTGATCACGGCGTGCACCTGCGGTTGCAACACATACCAGCACAAGTCGCAGATAGAAATCATCAGTAAACGTAAACCGGGGTGATGGCCGGGGGTCTTTTCCGACAAGTCCTCCTGGGCGATCGAGGTCACCACGTGCATTCGCGCAGCAACGCAAAAGAAATTACGGTGCGTCACGCGCCGACCGCTTATACTGGAGAGGGGCTTGGGATCAACGGGTGCACAACAGTCATCACCATGTACAATAGTTTCGGACCTGGATGTATTGCCATGTGTTGGCATGTGATAATTGTTTTCGTAACCTGTCAAAGGGGTGTGGTGTCTTCCGGCAAGGGCCGAGGTGAGCGGTCGATGAAAGAAAAACGTCGTAGAGCGCAAGAGAGCAACATTTAAAGCGGCAACAATTTCAACATCAACAACGACAACAACAAACGCCACAACAAGACCTGGGACGAAGAGCCCAGAGCATATCGATATTTTCCCGAACTAGCGGAGTAGTTTGGGATCGATTGGAAGAATGTGAGGAAGAGTCCACACACGTGCCTGGAGGTCCGCGATGGTGGGGGGATGGCCGACGAAGAACTTTGAGGACGCGTTAGCCGCAAGCCTTGACGTGAGCATTTCCACCAGGGTCTTGATCTGTTAGTTCCAAGGGACAGATAGGATTCGAGTAAGGACAGCATGGTCAGGGAGGAGAACCGATCGGCATGGTGAGACAATTGGGGCTGGGGAAGGCTAGGGTGATCGTTACCACAGGGAAACGGCTAATTGAAGGTCACGACAAGGACCAGTCATTGAGAACGGACGTTGTTGGGATCGACTTCCAGGGGAACGGTTGTTGTACCGTCCCGCACGTGTTCCGTAGTCTCTACACGGTATTCAATCTTCGGAACGCGAAACCGCAGTCGTCGCTTCCTCTTCTACAATACCGAAGACATGTCTTTACACCTTCGAAACACGCGACTCAAAGGCATTCAAGATGCCAACAAGAAACTGATGCGTTCACAATAATTGATCGCCCCTCCCCCCCTCGACGACCGCCACACGCACCTTTCCCTCGAGCAATCCGTTGGCCATGGTGTCGTCCTTCTGGTCCACGCACTTGAACATGTTGGCCATCACGTCCTCCGCGATCATCACGATCTCGTCCACCTGCCGTGGACGTTTTATGCCGAGTGTACGCGAGACGAGACGTTTTCAGTGCCGGGTGCGACAGAGAGGAAGCGACAAATGAGGCAGAGAGAGGGGGAGAGGGGGAGAGAGAAAGAGACGGGGTGTAGGCTACTGACCACCACAGCGAACGGCAGAATGCGGTAGTAGAAGCACAGACTGAGGAGGGAAATAAATCATCCCCGGCAACGCAAGCTAAGCGAATATTGTTTCCTTCTTCTCTCTTTGCCTCTCACGGTTTCGGTGTCACACTTGTTCTAGTTCGTTCGACGGGGGGCGGGCGTCAGGAAACGAGAAACCTTTGTAGATGTTCACGATAAGGTAGATAGATAGATAGATAGACAGATAGACAGATAGAGAAATAAAGATAGAGACAGAGACAGATAGAGTGTGCACACCTTGAGGGCGGCGAGCGCGTCGTCGGGGTACAGGCCTCCCAGCTTGCCGGCATACCGGAGGAGGGCGGTCGACTGGGTGTACTCGGCATCGTCCATCTGATGACGATTGTCAGGTGTAAAATAATTCACACGAAATGAGGGGAGGGGGGGGTGTACTCATAGTCGTGCATGCCGTAGTCATTAGACCATTGACCTCGCATCCCTACAAAGCCGGGACGGAGCACGCCGGGCTCTCACCGGACCAGGCTCTCACATCACCAAGCGCGAAGCGCCGTGAGGTATTCGGCGGGTCGCATGAAGGGTGCGCTGCATCCTGCTAAGGGTGTTCGGCATCTTGTGCTTACTTCCTTGCTTGCAGATGACAGCTGCGTATGACTTAATTTATTTTCTCGTGCTTTCACTTCCAGAGACAGTTGGAAGCGCTGTGTAACTGCCTCGAGGGTGCTTGACCATTTTAACACAACGTGCGATTATCCCGTTTGCGCGGAGTGAGGGTTCTCGACCCCGCACAACATAGTCTACTCGACCACCATTCATGGTTACCGCAAAAAAAAAAAAATGACAGAAAAAAAAAGCGGTAACCTGGTTGCCGAGTTCACGAAGTGAATTGGCTTGTTTTACAACATCGCTGCCAAGCGACGAAAACCCAACCCCGATGGCAAACACCAGGGGGGGCGGCCTGTTTTACAACGTCGTTGCCAAGCGACGAAAACCCAACCGCGATGGCAAACATCGTTGCGCTACGGGGGGGAGGGTAAACACGGTTACGCCGTTTATTTGCAAGATGCTCCTTACAACCTCCGTCTCGTGCCCAACTTACATGTTGAGGACCGCAAAGTTGTGGTTGTGAAGGGCCTCGGCCGATGAGGTCCATGAGTCGTGGCGCGGCCTCTTGCATGTGGTATGACATGTGCATGCAGTTTATTTCGAGACAGCTCTGAACGCTGCCACTTAACGAAGCTCTCCGCAACGACAATCCCATCCCAGAAGAGACTCAAGACAAATTCCTGCCGCTCGTGAAAACCAAACGACACACAGAATGGACGAATTGCGCCATGGCGAGATGCTCATTCAATGGTCTGTGTGCAGCGAAACGAAGAGACAGGTAGACTGCATGAAGAGCCCACCACTTGCGAAAAGCACGAAGCATACATCCACTCGACCTACAAAGTCTAAAGTTGTACCTAAGGTTACTGTCTCACCTCCAAGACAGGCAGGCCTATGCCCGCCCACTTGGAGGCACCGTACTCGGGGAACCCCATAATGTTGTCCTCGAAATCCTTCCCGGCGTAGGCGAGCGCGACGCGGGTAGCCTCAGCGCGGCCGGGGTCGTCGAAGTAGTGGAGGGTGGCGGTGGAAGGCATCTTCTTGTTGTGGTTGATTTTGTAGACTATCGTGTGAGTTGTTTTAGTGTTTGGGGGCAGGACATATCAAGCGGGGTGGTGCGAGGCAACGGCGGAGGGACAAAGGGGGCGAGAGTGAGAGCGAGAATTTCCGAGTACTGCTGTAGAGAAGGGGGTGTTACAAGGACTTTTGACGACAGACGGATATACAGCAGCTGAGAGAGCGTTGCCTATGAATGGGGATTGTACCAGTACCACACGACGCCTAGTACCACACGACGCCTAGCGTGGCACACACGCAACCTGCCGATAGATTTCCAACTTACTTGTTGCCCGTTGCTGCTACGGACGCATTAGACTACGTGGTGTGTTTGTGAGAGCCTGTTGAAATGTTGATGTTCACCGATCATTCTCGGGTGTTCTCCCGCCTACTACGCACGTACATACACACATAACCTACCACCCATGCACTGGTGAATTGAGAACTTTTCATGCGCTCGGCGTGTTGACCACATACATTGTCGCGCGTTGGGTATTGCTCTCGTACCCCAGTATTGATCTTGGGTGGGGGGTGGTATCTCCCGTCATGTATCCGTATGGATAGACCCCAAAAATCTGGCTTTCCTGTAACCTTTCGTATGCACACAGAGGTCAAAGGACAATCGCAAATGCATGCACAATAGATGCACGAAAGCGATACCGACCCCACGCGGTAATGATCAGAGAGAATCGTAGGTGCGTCGTAATCGGACAGCCTGCCTGCTGTGGTGCTGTACAAGTACATGTGGACCCCGAGGCAATGTGTAGACTATTTCTGATCTGCTGCTGCTGGCTGTACCACGCACTATCTGAGCAAGAGCACTACTGCTGTACTGCTGTCTCGCATACCAATACCTGGAGAGGGATGGGTGGGTGCGGTCGGTCTCGAGCTGAAGGACTGCTGGGAGAGAAGAGTGGAAAACCTTTTCCCGGGACTTTCTTTTCCGTTTGCCCCGCGCGGGGGAAAACAACTTGAGTTTTTTTCAAATATTTTCCGTTTTTTTCCTGTTGTGTGTATGTGATGACGTCACTGGTTTTGTAGAGAGACGCGGCAGAGATGGCGCGGATAGCCCGCCTGCCTTTAGTGTGTACCTGCATCGAAGACCCCTTCAATGCGGAACGATTCCTAATCCGTGTCGATCATTTACACTGCTATGCCCAACACAGATGATCAGGGGTAGGTTCGGTGATTGTCAATTGCAATGATGGCTTTGGTTGGTTGTTATTTTTCACTGCTGTATGTCCACGGACGCATTCTGACAGCACTTCAGACAGCAGTTGCGCGCCCCGAACTTGTACCACATGCCTACTACCATGGTGTTATGTACAGGCACAGCACTCCAGACAGCTGTACGGTGTGGTCGACATTCATTTTGGTAAAGTGTAGGACAGGGGGGGTGATGCTGCTGCTGTAGTCGAATGTAGTGTGTGGACGGGTACTTCAGTGTTTGTGCACGCAAACAAACGTGCTGCAGGGATGGATGTAGTAGGTGTACCGCTTCGGGCTTGTGTACCCTTTTCTTGCTAGTTTGCGTGTTCGTTGGATCTTCTGATGGCTCTAGCATTTTTGTGACCACGGACCGCGTCTTTGCTAGATTTTGGGATTAGCAAATGATACGAGTTTAATGTGAAGACAAAAACAACAACAACAACAACATGCATCCTCTTCGCCGTGGCGTAATCGAGCTTGGAAAATCGGTCCAGGTGGTTCGTGTGTTATCTTGTGTCGTATACGGTACAGTATACCCAATCTATTGTAGGGAGGGGTTTTGGGCCATGTTTCGACCTACAGTAAGCGGAATTTGTTTCTCGAACCTGAACGAGTTGAGAGCGGTGGCAAGACGTGAAGACAATGAATGGGGGCGTGATGTACAGGGAGAACATCAACAACGTATTTTGTATACCCCCGAAGACATGCCGGCGAATTACATTCCGGCCTAACTAAACACGACTCGGGTATCATCGGCCCATAGCAGGGTCTTGCCGTCAGGCCGTCGACAGCATTAGTCTACTGCTGCTGTTGTCTCTTTCGTCGGCAACCCAACATTCACGTTGCTTTCTTCATCCTGTTATCCGCAGAACAGAGAGAGGAGCTTGCTTCTCGAACCGATCCCCGCACACACTAACGCAACCGCTCTTTCGCCGGTTTGTTTGCGCTTCTTCCCTCGCCGGTCGGTCCCCTGGTCCCGCCCTCTCGTGTACGGTTTCCCCATTCATTCTACTCCTGGGTCCGTCGTGGTCACGAACAACTTCGAACGACATTGCTTGCCCGCCGACTTTCGTCCGAGCGAGTCGCGTTTGATTCGGGGGTTCTGCCTGCTCCAATCTATATCTCCATCTATCTGTTGTCCATTCCGCCGGTCGTGTGTCACCGCTGAAACCACGGGCACACATTGCACGCATTCCCTGCTGGCTGAAGGACAAGACCAAGACCAAGAAAAACCGGTACACAACACTGACAAGTTGTACCGCAGGCAGCAGGGTGTACCATAACGCAATGAAAAGGAAGACAACTGATAGACAATACCTGCCGAGGCACAGCTAAACTACACCGGTCCACCTGGAGGTGCGCTGATCTACCGTAAATGACAAAAGACAACACACCCCCTGGACCGATTTTCAAAGCTCGATTACTCCACGACGAAGAGGATGCATAAACAAAACGATACATTTTCGGAGAGCTCTCGACGAGAAGATTACAACCCCGCCGTTTTCGGCGCTGTGACTCTTCCTACTGTTGAGAAATCGAGCTTTGAAAATCGGTCAAGGGGGTGTGTTATCTTCTGTCACTTACGGTATTCGCACCCACCGCTTCCCGGCAAAAAAAAAAAAGAAAGAGCCACGCTACACAGCAAGTAGTTTTAGTGGTATTGTATGCATAAATTGTTCCAGAGTTTTTCCCACTCGCACGATTCAAAACACTTGTATCTCCAGAAGAAGCAAACCAAAAATGCCGAATTTACACCACCGGGACAGCAATCGCTCTGCCCGCCGGGGGGGCAGCAGACACACGACGGCTAAAAATTAATAAACTACATCGCTCCCCCCACGAAGCCTAAAAGTGATCACACCTACCCGTACTTCTCCGAGTCACCCACCTACCCCACAACAAGAAACAACGTTGAGGCGCGACCGTCAGGAAATAGGCCAATCACAGCCGTGCCGTGCCCCCCGCACGGGGTCTTCTGTCTTATCTCAACAAACCTCACCGAGGGCTTTTCATTTCACTCTCTACGTCAACAAAGCTCTAGGCCCAGGGGACCGCTTCTTCTGTGGGGCAGTCGTGTTGTCCTTCGGGCGATGTTGTCTGCTTACGCCTTGGAGGCGTAGTACGCCTCCACCTGGTTTTTTGAGGCAGGGGAGACGCAAAATGAATAAACGGTCGGGGGGGGGGGGGGGGCTCTCGAGTGCGCGTTGTGTTGACTACTGTCTTTCGCTGGCCGCGCGGAAGCAAGACTTGTCTACAATAATGAGGGGGGGACGAGAAGCGACTTGGGCGGACGGGGGGGCTCCTATACAAGCAAGCCGCTCTGGAATACCGCCACGATGATAGGTACAGGAATCACGCGAGGGAGATTGTGACAAGAGCACCGGAGAAAAAATAACGTTGCGCTTCGATCCTCATCCTCTGCGATTATAGACCAAACGAGAGGCGAAACACGAACAGCAGTACCGCAACGGTACCTTGGGGTCCTCCAAGAGAGCGGCCTCCAT